CATAGAAATTTTCAAAGCTATAATTATAGTAGTATTTAGGAATCAAGAATCCCCAAGAACGCTCCATTGATCTTCCCAAAAAATACTTTATTAAAATAGTTACATATTAGAGGATCTAATCCAGAATAGGCAGATCATGCATAGCGCCTTCGGCCAATTTCACTGGACGATCATGCATGCAGATTATATAGCTATTAATTACGCAAAAAAAAAATAAAAGTATAAGTTATACATTGCGCTTCTGGTTAAATGATATTAATCTTCAGTTAAAAGCAATAGTCTATAATTAAGATATTTCTCGAAATCAGTCAGTTAAACAAATGTGATTTTTGTCCCATCTCTCAATCTTAATGCGGGCTGATTATAATTATTTATAGATGGTAGTAAGTTATTTTGTTTTGCATATCGAGATGAAATAAATATTTCACTTGTGGTCCCTTTGGGAGCTGATGATTGATGAGAAATTGGTGAAACCATTTCTTGCCTGGCAGGTGAAATACAAGCTGACTCGAAGTTTGGAGCACTTGGCATAGTATTTTTTTCTACTGTTGCTCTAGATTGTGCATAATTTTCATAGCTAGCTGTAAAATTTCCATCATGATCATATGATACCGATGCCAATTTATCCTTTTCTGAGTGTGAGGTAGATTGGGAGAAAAGCTCTAGACGAAGACGATTAATTTTCGCCTCTTCTCGTAATATGTATTGTTTGTATTGCCAAATTTCAAATTCCCTTCTATCAATAGATTTGAGAATTTCTTTTCTTCTTGCATGTTCATTCGAAATACTATTTCCAGAAATGCATCTCTTCAAGTGGTTATCTTGATAGATACGAGCGCTAAAAGAAGTATCAGGAATGAAAACTAAGGAGTCACATACACTACAATATATATAATTGGTTGGATGAGCATGGACTTTATCACTTTCATATAACTTTCCGCACATTGAAATATACCCATTTTTAGAAAGGATTTCTGAATTCTCTTCAAGTATTTTCCTAAATGGGCCACGAATACGAGAACACCACATTTCTGGTGTTTCGTGATCATGTCTTTTTGTTAAAGGGCCTAATCTTTCAAGTATTCTTCTATAATCTTCAGAGCCTCCATGAGTATTCCATGCATCAATTAGCTTAGAAAAGGCTTTACTATCAAGATCCATATTAGCGTTTTAGTAGATTATGATAGATTATAATGATTTATTGTTTTATAGTGTTTTTAGCGATTTTAGCTATTTTAGCAATATTATACTCTAATAAATAACAGATTCATTTTTATTCGAATGTTCGGGTGAAAACAAATATTATAACTCTGATGTCATTATTCGGTTAAATTAGATCCGATCACCGTAGACGGCTAAATTATAAAAAATGTATCACATGAGATCTTCCTGGTTCCTAGTCAGTTCCCGGCACTTCCTCGCAATCTTCTCGTAACTCAAATCACGGGATGAGTTACAGATCAGCATTGCGTTGCCAATCAGATTTTGCGCAGTAGCTAAGCCACCATTATTATTCGATCAATCGCTAACTGTTTGATCTGTACGGACCTCTTCTATAGCATTGTTTATCATATCAAAAAACATTGCTTCGAAATTATTTCTTTTTTTCTCTGCTCGATGGCATAGATTTTGTTATAGGCTTTAAACGCATCTATAGCTCTATCAGGAATATATAAACAGCAATGGTCATTATCAGCTTTTTTAAATATAATATTTTTTGATCTATAATATGCATTGCTTTGTTCATTAATCTGCCGAGCACACGAATCAGAGCATGCATGTACCAGATAGCACCTATCATTAGTATGTAATAAACGAGACATGGGATATGTATTAGAATAAGAGGCTAAGGCACATGTGCGTTCTTTTGGTTTGGTACACCCCTCTCTCTCACAAGGGCAAATAAAACGTTTGTCACAAATATAACAGATAGTATTCCCCTTCTCACTTTCTGAAATAGTTGATGCTGACTTGACTATGTCAATTGAAGATGGTTGTGCGCGATTTTTGTTTTCATTCCTTTTACGGCCCATTAGTTATTTGAATGTGCAGGAAATTCAAATCACAAATTTATTATTATTCTGGTGGGTTTATATAGGGTTAGCTATTTTTCTAACTATAGTGAGAAAAAAGGATTAGTTTGTGGACCCTCATGATTTGCATGTATCATTTTATTTATTCGATAAGCGCACCTACAGCATTTACAGATACACATGAATTGAAAAGGAGAAAGGCCCGATATGGAGATAATTTATTGTTTCATCCGCGCCATGCTTTACAATACTACATATAAAAAATCTACATTCGAAACTCTAAAATACAAGCCGGAACAGCATCACGCGACTGTGGCGCAGTAATAACTCGAAATTTTTTATGATGTATGTGACCTCACTTCTCGTTACCCTTTTCCTTCGCATGTTTAGAAAGAGGAAAAAATCAGCTCATAAAATAGGTTCTTTTAGCCATTCTGGTCATAATTTTTATTCTTTCTTATTTCAGATTACAGTACATAATCTCTTGAATTATAAAGCTTCCGTCTGCTTTGATTATAAAGCTTGAATGGACAGTTTATTTATGTATGATTACATACAGTATTAAAATCTATAATATAAAAAAAAACTACTATATTACGATATTGTGACCTCGGAAATAATCTAATACAACTTTATAGCAAGTTATGATTAATTTTAATATAAATTATCAAATATAGAAAAAATATCCATTTTCACCCGTTTAACCTTAGGAGTTTCGGAAGTTTCATGTGGTGGTGATGAGGGTGGAGAGGGCGTTGATTTACGTTCTCTACGTGCACTTGTGATGCTTAAAATTTTATCGTTAAGTGTCAGCAATGTATGCTATATTAAATGAAAGAACAAACGTTAATACTTGGTAGAAATATACGGGCTTGTAAATCTATCAGTAATGCAAAATACAAACTCGAAGTCCAAGTAAAGTCTTAATAAACGTTGGTAAGAGGCCTCTCATTGTTGTGGGAGACTTTGGTACATCCAATGTTGCCAATTCCGTAAAAAAATAAAAATTTAAATCATGATCATACGATAAAGAATAAATAGACCAGTGATGACCTACGGATTTTATTGAGACAAAAGATGAGCATAATATCAAATAAAATTAACATATATATATTTTATACCGGTGACTTGAATTCCAATAGTATAGATGTCCGCTAAATCTTTTTTATTAAAATGAAGTTTATTATAAAAATCATCTATCATATCTTTTAGTTCAATTTTTATGGCGGTATGATCGGATTGTAACTTCAATTCATCTTTCTTCATCTCGGTGTTTCCGACTTCCACTGTCATAATTTCAATCTTAAAGTTTCGAAACTCCAAAGACATGTCTAGTTTAGTGTTATCCCTGTTTAATTCTATATATTCAGCGTTAAGACTTTTTCGTTTTCGGGAATTGGTCGCATTACATATTTTTTCAATCCTAGAAATTTTACAAACCTTTAACAAATAAATTCACAAGCATTTAATGCATGAAAAAATGATTTAAGTAGCATACCAAAATAATTCGAATTGTCCAATATTAAATTCTTGCAATAAATCTCCAAGTAATGGACCTAAGATCGCTAATGTATAATCGCGTTCCCTGAGCGGAACTGTTAAAATATTGATCTCACGGCGACAGCATTTATGACTACAAAAAATGACTGCCTTAGAGAATAAATAACATCAAATCTACACCTTAATTTATGTACTTACAAGAATGAAATTATTTCAGATGCCAATATAGCATCTTCGGAACCAATAGTTGAAATTTTAGTTTTCCACTCTTGTAGATCGTTTAAATTCCTCTATAATATAAGCGTTAAGCGTTATCTATTGATCATATTATTCATATTATATTACCTTTACAAAACAACAAATAAAATCGTTACTTATTACCAAACTATTTGATGGATTATCGATAAAATCCAAAACTTTCTGGTCTATTCTTTCCTTTTCCAATTTTTTATTAAACGATTTCATTAATGCAATTTTGTCTTCATGCTTCAATATCCTGGACCACTCCAGATTTGTCCAATTGGTGAGATCTATAATACGAGATTCAATTGACCTATAATCACAATATGTGTTAATTACCTACCAAATCAAAATTTATATCAGTTCGGACAAAAAACTTACTGTACTCTAATCTTTTTATCTTCTAAACGCTTCATTACAGTTCTCCAAATATCTTCCAATCTTTCTGATATAATGTCTGTAAAAAACACCAAAATAATTATAAAAGAGTCGCGTCTACTAACAAGATCGAAGCAAACCTACCACATCGTTAGCCAGTTCTTCATATAGTTTACTCTTATCCGCATCTTCATTAGCAGGGACTATATCTTCCTTTTCATTAGCATCATCATCCTATGATAAGAATAAATTTTATAACGCATTAATCATTTCACTTTTGATTCCGAATCTTGAAAGACACACTCATTTTTCTGAGTTCTTTCCGTTGGCACCACCAATCTTACTTTTTTACGCTTTTGTACTATAACATCATCATCTGATTCATCACTAACAATATGCAAAAGAATTTAATGTCAAATTTGCAAATTATAAAAGTAATACGTATAGTAACCTACGTCGGAATATATTCAGATGTTGAGGGTGTAGTCTGTTCGTCTCTTGCACTAATTGAACTACATTTCGAGGACCTTTTAAATTGACGACGATGTCTTTCGGCATCAACAACTTGGTTCTTTAGCTATAGGAGTGAAATGGTGTCAGTCAGTAGAAGGAAGATTTAATCACAAGTGAGTCAAAAATTTTAAGACCTGAATACAGCGCATGCCCACTTCAAAAGAAGCCTGGGCGTTCTCGATTTCAACACTTAACCAGAAATCCTCAAGTTGTCCCTTACGCAACTTCAATGACTACGAAGAAACCGAAATTTCAATATCGAATTATAACAAAATATATAAGCGAATGCCAACTTACCATGGCTTCTTCTTTTCTCCTTTTGGCATGAGCTCTAATTTCTCTGTCGGAAGCATGAGACAATTTTTCTAAGGCGCTCAAATAATGATTCCATGCTGAATTTTCTTCTGCTTTTTAGTATTTGAAATTTCTAGCAAAGATGAAGAAATTAATATCGCGAAGGTTCTCTTGAACGTAACCAATGACGGACGTAGACATTAGACAAAGTCTGTATCGAATGATATTACGAAGGTGAGAAATGAAAAAAGTAAATTGGATTCACGCGTATTCACGCGTCGCAATGTCACGTTATCACGTAATGAAGAGCACGTGCAGATTTCTGTAAATTGACCAGTAAATGATAATCGGCAGGGACCCGTAAAATTTTTTTCGATTTCGATTTATCAACGTTTACTCCTTGGAGCACACGAAGACAGTGGATTCTGTCTTTGCATTGCCAACGATACTCCTGATGACTTCGATTTGATGGTTGTATTGTAAAGGACAGTGGATTCTGAACCATTGGTCATGCCGTGCGAGGAGAAATGTTCTTGAATGAATACTGATAATACTTCCTTGGAGCACACGAAGACAGTGGATTCTGTCTTTGCATTGCCAGCGATACTCCTGATGACTTTGATTTGATGGTTGTATTGTAAAGGACAGTGGATTCTGCACCATTGGCTGTGCCGTGCGAGGAGTATTAGAAGTTAACGATTTTCTGCAAAGAAAATTCGATGCAAATATCCTGAAGTGAGCGAAACTTTATTAATTATTTTTTAGATACATAACGAATCAGAAAATGCTAGTGAATCAAGTGAAATGTATGATGCTATCAAAGAGGGAGGGAGTACGCGGATCCTAGGCCATTTAATGCGAGTCCCAGCATCAAGTCATTTCTTTGCTCTATTGTAAATTTCTATACTAATTGTTTTTTTCCTATCACTATTGCTAACTACGAGATTTTTACACCAATACTCTTTTTCTACACTAGATTTCCGAAATAAATTATCCCACCCATTTCTACACCTATTTGCACAAGGCGGATAAATGGATTCACTAACAGGGTCATCACCATTTTATATAATTCACAGGATCGATTTTGTTATACACTTTGGGGGGAGATTACGTTAATATGATCGCATCACGAAAATCTGATCAACCGCCTCTCCTTAACTTAACACTATCCATATGTAAGGATCATCAAGGGGCCCTTTTTTAATAATAATATACATAATAATTTTGAGAATATGCGAGAAAGTTTGAGAATAAAAGTCCCTGGATCTTCGCTGGTAATTTTAATTTGCCGATCCAGATTTCCGTTAGTGCCCTAAACGTTTTTTATTTGCAATACATTGAGCTAAGATAAATTACATGGTGCATGACTAGCCCTGGGTATATGATGCCATTCTATGATTGTAGACTATTATACACGGTTATTTTTTCGAACGATATTTCTCTATTCTAGCTTGAGGCAAAGGAGACGTATCCACGATACATGTTATGTCATATGATAATCGTGAAGACTCTTCACACTTCCAACCAATAGAAGCGGGATCTACCGGTTAATCATATGATAAACTTTAATTTCAATGACGTACTCAGAAAAATCTCAGCAAGAATTTTCCCGATATCAACTGCGCATCCGATTTCAGTTTCTTTTGCATAAGCCACCCACGAGATTCGAAAAAAAAGAAACGAAATAATATACGAATATTTTTTCTTTATAATTCCTCCAGTCTAAGCCACAATCGCGAACTTGAGTTTATTGCTTGAACTGTTGCAGGTAAGACAATATTCTGTTCCATTTCTATA